AGAGGCCAGCAGGAGGTTTTCTGTAAGCCTGAGGCTGTGGCTCTCCCACCAGGAAGTGGTGGACGGCTTCCTATGAGTTGGGGGTCAGTTTCTGCTCAAGTGGAGGAGTTTTAGTGTTTTGGTGTCTTGAACAGAACTGATTAAGGATGCAGGGAGGGACGGTGAACGGATTGGGAAAAGGACTTACTTTGAGAACAAAGTAAGAGCATTTCCTCTTACTACTGGCAAAAAGACTAAACTTCAAATGACTTGTACTTCTTCAGCGTGGTTACAGATGTGTGATTCAACATCAATGTTTGATAGGATTTTAGCCTGCTTAGAAAGATTTTTGGTTTTATGCTGCATATGTTCCAAAAAATGTATCCAGGCTTTTGTTGCTTTTCTTCTTGCTTACACTAAGCATTTAATTACATTTTCTTATGTCAGCATAGTGGCAGGTCCTGTAAATATGTCACTTAACATGTCGATTCAGATAATCGCTTTTCCATTTAATCTCTAACAAGGGTGAAATAATCCGGGCCTAATCTATAATAGGCGAATCCAATCACTGAAGCAAATGCCTGTTGTGATTTGAAGTGCTGCCAGACTTTGATCGCCTCAGCGGTAAATTGATTAGCAGTGATCTACTGGTCTCCTTAAATGCTGATCCTGGGAAAAGAAGTTCATGTATTTGCTTTAAGCTGACGCTGTGGTTGAGCATCAGGATCTCTTTGCACAACCGTTCAGTAAAAGCAAAAGCGGCCCACTGGCCTCAAAACAACCCAGCACAGAAGCCAGTTAGTGTTTTTGCAAGCTGCATGCTTTAAACCAAGATCAACTCCGACTGTTTTAGCTCGCTGCAGCTGTCTCGTTAGATTTACAGCTAAGGGCTGGGTAGAGGATGTTCTTTAAAAACCTGACTGCTGGAATTTGAGAGAAAATAGGTCGGTTACAAACTGCACGGATGAACGGGTAATAATGAAAACGTTGACGTGCTTCCACAAGATCTGGGTAGGATATAAAGCCCTATAGAGCTTGTACAGATTACAGACAAGCATTCTTCAGTTTTAACCCTGTTGCTTGCTAAGAAAATTGAAGTTGATCATTTGCTTAATGTACTAGAATAATTGTTTTCCTTTTAATGTGTCCACATTTTGCAGCTTATTAACATTCAACGTCTCGTCCCGTCTCTTGTCCTTAAACCTAATCTCTGCTTGCTGCTTTGTCAGCCCAGCACCATGTACTTCATTTTTTTCCTGTTGGCATGGAGGGTTCGCCTAAACAAGAGGCAGATCAACAAGGACCAAAGGGTGTTGTATTGTTTTCAAAGCATATTACTGAAATATTAAAAGCTTTAACTGAAGTTTAGAAGATACAGGATGCTAGCAAAGTATACTCTTTTGTTACTTTTTGTTACTGTATCAACTTCTCCTATTGTTGGCTTGTGATAAATTAAAAAAAAAAGAGACTAAAGGAAGAAATGGTTTGACCCCACAATTGAAAGCTCAGACTCTGACAATATTGTAACACATTAGGCATTTTTGTTTATAGAGTCCTAAAATAATAATAGTTTGGAGAATTAAATTATAACGTTTACACACACTGAGACTATGCCTTCAAACAGTTTAGGAAATCTCACGTAATGATGTTCAATTTAAAATATTTTAGCTAAGTAGATCCACCTGGCTGCAGTTTAAGGCCCTACCGCAAACAGACTTCTTCCTTATTTTGAAATCGTGAGAAAATCGAAAGAAATCAGCCACAATATCGAGATGCTGAGTGTTTTAGCATGGCTGAGCTCTAAAGCTAAACTCTTTAGGCTGAAACCGAACACTGGAAAATCACACGTTATTTATTCTTCCTTTTCCCCAATTCTATCACAATTATTAAGCTACGTAAATAAACTCACAGAGAGTGCCAAAGTAACCACAAACGTGTGAGCCGTGCAAATCTGAGATCCATCAAAACTTCAGTCCATCTTCACTATTTCTCTTTTTGACCTTTGTCTTTAGGCTTGCATTAATCTTTTATTTCCGCTTCACTTGTGTTTTGATTTTTTTTACGGTGTCAGAATGATCCATACCTCTGGCCTCACCTGTTTTGACTTTCTTCACATCCATCTCCTCTCGCCCATCATAATTGCAAAGGTCACATCCTGGAGACTCTGTGAAATCAATTACAGGTTAAACCTCTTAGTCTGCCTCCAAGGCAGCAGAGATGTGTTTTTATGTGGAAATACATTTCGCCGCATCCCTCCTCAGGACGTGCTTTTGTTTCCTAATATTTCCCATTGAGGCACCGAATTCATTTATGCAACCTGTCAGCATCCTCATCATTGATGACAAAGTATCCACTGCAGATGTGTGACCTCTATCAGTGATGTTAAATTGTTCTACACTGACGCTGCTGTTGTCTGCACTGCGGTTCACAGGAGGGGGAACAGATTTTGATGGGTTGACAGGAAAACGATGTGCAGGGCGGAGAGACAGAAAACGTTTGTTCCTTGAACATTGAGCTGTACAGTGCCTTGGAAGAAAAAAAAGAGCACATCTTTTATTCATGCTCAGTTGACAAGGTGTCAAGAGTTTTGTCAATCCTCTCATTTTTCCGTTAACCTTGTCCCTGTAAAATGTCCTGTCGCTGTTTCTTTGGTTAAACATCACTTTCAGGCCACGAGGGAAAGGAAATAAGAGAATGAAAGAAGGTGGGAAAGACAAAAACAAAGATAGCTTCTGTTCTGTCTTCCTTTAAAAAAGAAAGAATGCATAAGAGTAAAGTAACTTGTGGAAAACATCCAGAAAACAAACTGAAGGAGAGAGGAGGAGAAAAGACGAAGAAAAATGGGATGGAGGGAGATGGACGGAGGTGGATTGTACCTGTGAGAGAAGCGGGATAATGTTCAGTCTGTCGTCTGAGTTTATTTTTACCTCAAGGCAAGAGTCTGGATCAGGGTTGCCACCCTTGTAGCACCTTTCAGTGTGGGTTCCTGAACAGATGTCGTCCCAGTGTGAACATCTCTCATGACTTTCAGTATCAACACCAGCACACAAGGACAAACATAAAAAGTCCCAGGTCATAGCTTGTGCTGCTTTGTAAAGTCGAAAACGTGTTTTAGCTGTTGAACATTTCCTTTTACGTAGCATCTAATTTTCTTACTTTATGTAGACAATAGCAAAATTATTGAGTCTAAATCTGAACTTTAAAACACCAGTTAATATATTGCAAGTTTTCAGGTAAACTAATTGAATGCATGGAAGGTTGTATCTCTGAAATAAAAGCGCTTTGAAGAACACACACTCAGGTCTCTCCACTAGTGCGATAGGTACTTTATTAATGCACCCGCTATAACTTTATGTCCCTGCTTATTATAGATATGCCCTGAGAATGTGACTGGTGTAAATAATGCTCTAACCTCACCTTCTTTCTCTTCTGATGCTGTAGCAGGCAGCTTGATCACAAACTAAGTCAGACTCCCGCATATCTTTCGTACATGTTGAAGGAGTCTGGATACACCGCACCACGCATCTGAAATCTGATATTTAGAGCCATTTAACATCTTCTTCCTTGAGAGAAAATACATGGCGTGATGTCATTTAACTTACTTCTTGATTTAGAGTAAACTTTATTTTTGTTCCCTTTAATATTTTATTAATTCCAAGCATCACATAGATTTTAACAGAACTGAGTAGGTGCTGTGGATCCTGTGTCAAACACTTTTTATGTACTGTTTATAGACTATTGGATCAACCTGTCCCACAGGCATTTAAATTGCTTTTAAGAAAGGACCAGCACAGATTCACTGGGAGGATCATTGATTTACAAATCAAGGGTGTAATTAATACTCACTCTGTTCCAACCTGTGGGAGGAAGTCCATGTAGACAACTGGGCACGTAGATGATCATCACTGCCCCTTTTTTTTTTTTTTTTTTTTTTTTTCTGGGCTTGTTTTTGTCCAGACGTTTGCTCACATTTGACTCTACAACGCATTTTTAAGATTTTTATGTGATGGATCAAAATAAAGTCACGCATAATTGTGTAGCTGGAGGAAAACTATTCATTGTTCTTCTTTAATGAGATAAGGAATTGTTTGTCTTGTATATTTATTCAGCTCTGTAAGTTAACACTTTGTGAAACTACTACTTACATCTGTAAGTAAGAACATCTGCGTTTGGCTGCATCCATCTTCCCTTCTCCCTGACTGTGTGGTTTATAGGAAAAGTTCAGTTTTGTTCTCATCACAGCGGAGCACGGTCTAACACATGTCACCTATATATAGCTGACTTCTTACACCTACCTTTCTTTCAGCACAGCTGCCTTCTTTGCCTTCATGACTGTGAGTTTTCCATTCAACAATTTCTCGTATGTGACCTGTTGATCTCTGGAACTCCTTCAGAGTTACCTTAGGCCTCTTGCCAGCCTCCCTGATTATTGTTGTCCTTATCCTCCAGTCTGGAGTCACCGTCATGTGTTGTTTCTGTTTTTGGAAGAGATATTTAACAGTGGCCCTTTAAGATGTTAAAAGCTTGGAAGAGTGTTTTACAACCTGCTTTAGATTTCTCCAAATCGTTCTCCTTGACCTGCCTACTGTGTTCCTTGGTCTTCATGAAGCTGTTTGTTCTCTGACAAAACCGCTTAGCCCTTCACATAACGCCTCCCTTTCTACTGAGATTAAATTACACATACACCGACCCTATTTTGTAATTTGGGGACTTTTAAAGGCATTTACTTTCATTTGGATTTTATTTAGTGAGCGAAGGGGAGTAATTGGACATGTTTCGTCCCACTTTTGCAGTTGCGGACCACTTTCCGGTGGTCTCTACCGTAAAACCCCGATAATTTAAATTGAAGTTTGTGGTTGTGATGTGACAAAATGTGCCCGTTCAAGTGGCATAAATGGTTTTATAAGCGACCATATATTTTCCAAATGCAAAAGAACAAACGATTTTGCCTCCATAATAAAAGCTTTTACACTCCTCATAAACAACCTGAAGCTCATCGTCTCTCGTTTCTCTTTCCACAGGTTGGCTCTTTACGTGTATGAGTACCTGCTGCATGTAGGAGCACAGAAGTCGGCACAGACCTTTCTCTCAGAGGTAAGTCACAAAAATGCTTTCCGTGTTTGTGTCTGTCAGGCAGCGGGCCACAGACTTTATGTTTCCAGGGTTGTCTCTTTCAATATGTCCAGTTAGCGCTACAATGAAGTGAATCGGCTCAGCTTTGGGCTTGTGCCAGCAGGTTGGTGCAGCAAAGAGGCTTTTTAACGCCGCATTTAGTTCGGCTTGAACTGGAGCATGAGAGGAGTTTTGTGATTCTAAAGCTGATGTTTTGGGCGCAGCTTCATCCCCGCCTTTCACAATGTCCGTGGCTCTTCTTTCTGCTCTGAGATGCAATCTAATTTTCACTTTAATTCTCCTGGGTTAAGAGGGGACGAGGTGAAACCGAGGCCACTTGATCATTCTGCTCTGGGAGTAAATTATTACAAATTACAATGCAGAAGACAGCAGCTAGAGGCTTGTTGTACATCAGCCAGAGGGACAAGAGCAACTGAGAGAAGGGGGTGGAAAAGGTTACCTCATCAGCTGGCACTGACTCTCATCACTCTGACTTCATGAGTGCGTGTGTGTGTGCGCGTGTGTGTGTGTGTGTGTCTGTGTCTGTGTCTGTGTCTGTGTGTTTGTGTGCTCACACTGACACTTTTTCCTCTCTGCCATATCAATTGTCCACAGTTTTGCAAAAGCAGAAGATGCAAAGGATAGGTGGTGTTACATTCAAGTGTGGGAACACATTAGGTATTGATGCACAAAGCACAAACACGGCTGCTGATGTACAGTTCACATGCTCACCAGGGTAAGCATTTAGCTAAAATGCATCTCCTTTTGGAGTAATGGGATTTACTGCTTAAGGCACTGTCCATGCTAATGCTACTATTTTTTAAACAAATATTTTGTGCTGTATTTTTTTTACAAATGTCTCCCATTTTTGATGACTGAAATGTATACCAAGAAAAATGCTTTCCAAAGTACACACTTAAAACAAAAAACTGTGAATATACAGAGAATAATAGAAAAATGATCAAATTGAGGCTCACTGCATAAAAGCTTTCTGTGGTAGTTGGTATGTTGACATTAAAAGTTGCGATTTGGATAAATGTCAACCAAAAGGTTAAGATCATTTCTATAAAAATTGTATTTTTTTATGACTACGAACAGAATCAAAGATGTGAGCATATGTATGAAAGCAGTTGATTTTTAGTGTTATACATTATCATTATATAGTTTCTTGAATTCGAATCTCTAAACCTCAGATGCTTTAACTTAGGATTCACTCCAAAATCTGTAAAGTGTATTGCAAAAGGAAAATGTGTGGCTCAAACGACTCGGTGTATTCTTCTCTTTTGCTATCCAGTGTGTTTCCTCGAAGACACCTGAATGATATTTGCGAATCAGGCCCTCATGCCCACACTTAACATGCTATATCGCAACCAAATAGAGCAGCAGTATGAAAAAAACAATTAGCTTTTAAATTTAACAAGGTATATTATACTGTAAGGTTAAACCTTAGGAGGTTAAGACAGAAAACCGTAACCTCCTGTCCACATCTGCCAGTAATCACGCTGAGGGAATCTCACTGTAGCACATTGAAGGTAAATGAAAGAACCTCCAAGGAGTTCAGACCACAAAAAAACAGGATATGCGGGCACACACCATGCTTTCTTTTAAACGTTCTCCAAATGATGGCAGCGTGAAAGAGAATGTCCTGACATGAACTGCCTGTAATCTTATTTGGACTGAGCTGAAGCTCCTACAATTATACATTTTGTGCTATTTAGTCAGTCCAAGTATTAAGGAAAATTTCCTGCCGGTATCTCGAGCCGACAGATGAACTTACCGAAACTGCTTGCTGGGTCTCAAAGAATGTGGAATAAACAAATGGAGGCAGTTCCTGACCCTCCCTGAGAAAGACTTCAAAGCATGCCATTCCATCATCTGTTCGAGAACTGAGGTCAGGACAGTCTGATTGAAACTGTGGTGATTCAGTTTTTCCTGTTACTTTAGTGTTTGGTCATGATGCGGGTGGAGCAGGTGGTACAATGATCTTATTATTTGGCACTGATAAAATGTTTCAGGAAAGGTCTGAGAGGCATCCTCAGACAAAACAAGTGTCCCGTCTTTATTGGAGTCATCTGCCACTGATAGTTGCATGGATTTGTGTTCTTTAGATCCAGAACTGTGGTCTTTGTGTGTCAACATGAATTATTTTCAGGATGGAGATCATTTCTGAAGTAAATAACACCCAGCTGCATATTAAAGCTAGGATAGAAACAGGCCATACATTTGGGAAAGTCTAAACATCGAAATGATCTGAAAGTGAAATTAAAGTCGGTGTGGACCCGCCTGATTTGTGTGTGTGTGTGTGTGTGTGTGTGTGGGTGTGTGTGTGTGTGTGTGTGTGTGTGTGTGTGTGTGTGTGTGTGTGTGTGTGTGTGTGTGTGTGTGTGTGTGTGTTGGGGGGGTTGTTCAGAGATTTGAGTGGATTCCTCAGGCTGGTACATGTCTCTGACCTTATGCTCTGTTCACACTCTGACTCAAGAGACACACACATGCTCACGCACGCACGCACACACACACACACACACACACACACTTGTTTGTGCACGCACACGTTCAAATATGTGTCGATAAGCTCAAGGGCACACATAGGCCCACTTATCCTCTCTTGAATCCAAGAGATTCATAACATAATTACCTAATGGCACATCTTATAGATATTTCCTTGCACCCTTTTCAACCCTTTAGAGCATGTCACTCAGATGTCAGACATGTTTTATACACAGGATGTCTCTGAAGTACCTCTCTCTCTTTTTCTCTCTCTCTCTGTCTCTCTCTCTCTCTCTCTCTCTCTCTCTCTCTCTCTCTTTGTGTCTGTCAAGATCCGATGGGAGAAGAACATCACGTTAGGAGAACCTCCAGGGTTCCTCCATTCATGGTGGTGGTAAGTTTGTCTTTAAAATGAACTGTTAACATTCTCTATTTCCTTTCTGACAATAAAGAAGGCCAAACTGTTTTTTTTTCTTTCCTTGCATTTTTTTTTTGTCTTTCTCTCTTGATATTTATTTTTTGACTCTGCATCACTTCCTGTGTGTTACAGTGTTTTCTGGGACCTTTACTGTGCAGCTCCAGAGAGGAGAGACACGTGTGAACACTCCAGTGAAGCCAAGGCCTTCCATGACTACGTGAGTTTGCACTGATGTTTCTGACTTCAGGTTATTGGCAAAGATTAAGTCGCTAAAGCACAAAATGATGCTCACATGCATGTAAGAAAAAAAGAAAAAAGAAATATTTGATTATACAAATAATCATGCTTCACACTCTGTAACTCGAACACAGAGCTCTGGATGCTTGAGGGAGGAATTGTGTGTCTTTTGTGTTTTAGACAGGATGCAGGGCTTCTCTCTTCTTCTTCTTCTTTTTATGTTGTTGTTCTTTCTGCAGCCTAAAGTCTGACTCATCAGATTTGTCTACGGAGGTTTTATTGAGATATATTGTTGGAAGTGCAAAGGTCAGGGGTTTCTGCCTACCCCAGCAGGATCTTCTCGCTCTTTGTTCCTCATTCCCCCTTTCTTTCTTTGCGGCTTGCAGTTGTCTGCTTCTGGCAGAGGCTCTCTTGTCTTTTATCTGCCTCCAGCGAGGTGTGTGCGCTTTGCGTATGAGTGTGCATGCAGGTGAAGCTGCTGATGCTGGTGATGATGATCAGGGTGATGAATAGGCACTCCTTAAATGAGGCAGCATTGTGATGATGTCATTCTGGCTCGGGGAATTAAAGTTGGAGGGCAGCATAACCTCGGCCCTGTGAAACAAACGTCCTGGGGAGGGAAAAGCAAAGGAGCACTGGGATAGTTAACAAGAATAGGGAGACGACAAACAAAAACAACTGATTCAATCTGATAATACTAGAAATGTTTTAACTTTCTGATTAGACTCAGTCTAATTTAAAAAATATATCACTGAGGACATATCAGTGCATCTTCAAATCGATAGAAAAGGCCATCGGCAGTGTCTTATTCTTACATTTACTACCAGGATGTAACAGGGAAATTACAATTAGTACAAACGCAATTAGAGCAAAGTCACATTCAGTGAACTGTTTCAGTGCTGCAGAGTGTCGCACGTCCAGGTCGGATTGACTTGGCTCGTATCCGTCCCTCAGTTAAACCAGGAGCGGACAAGTTCAGAGGAAAACAGAAGCAAACATCGGGTCAGATTTCGTGTCTCCCCGTCAGTCTATCAACATCAAAACGAATAGAGATGTCTATCAGACACTTGTCTTGGTAATTATTTTCAGATTGCTAATTAAAGAGCGAAATCCTAAGTAATTCTTGGGAGACGTTAAAGCTCACTTGAATTGCCCTTTTGTTCCTTTCTATTTTACAGCTGATGAAATGATCACACCGTCATCGGTTTCATTTATCCCACTTTTAACCGTCTATTGCTTCTGCGATTGGCTTTCTGAGTTTGTCTTAGAGAGGAGATTCACTTGGATTTTTATCTCGTCTCTATTTACTTCTTGGAGATTGGTTTAATGGAGACGCTGTTCCCACAGCTAGGTTTGAGCCTTCTGGGGCATTAGTCTAATGTTAAAAGAGAAGAAAAAGAAAAGTCAGATGAAAGAAGAAAAAAAAAGCAGAAGAAATGTTATTGATTTCTGTCCTGGGACAAGGCACTACAGACATCAGAAAGGCCGTTTACAGTTCGGTTAAGTGCTTTGTAAATTGTGTACTCAATACTAAATGAGCAATTTCCATTTGCTCTGGCCACTGTAGTCATAAAAACAGGTTATTTTTAAATTCCTGCCCCGGAAATGGCCTTATTGGAGACAAAAGTCAAAATCTAACTCTACGGAATGAGACACAAAGCTGTGCTCATTTGTAGGCATGAGCCGTGTTGCTGTTTTGACATGCAGTACCTTCCAAAAGAATTTCACCTTTAAAATGACAAACCTTCATGAATTTACTTGGGGTTTTATGTGGAAGACCAACACCACAAAGTAGAGCATAATTGTAAACTGAATTAAAATGATTAAGATTAGGTGAAGAGCATCTCTGCACATCAGTTTGTCACAGATTCTCAGGTGGATTTAGGCCTGGACTTTGACAGGGCCGTTTTATTAACCAGTCTGTGTTTTTAAGACTTTGTCCCTCTGCAGTGTGAATGTTTGTCATGGTCTGCAGCCTCTAAGGATTACTTTGTGTTTTGCTCCACCTTCCCTTCTACTTTCAACTGAGGGGAGCATGTCCTTGTGCTTTTTATAAACTTTGAGCTGGACTCTTTCTGACTTTCTTTCACTAATGGCATTCTTGTTGACACTCCTCTGAAGGCCAAAGGCCAGATTCTTTAAGTGCATATCTAATAGTTAACCTACCAGTTTCCCTACCAGACTGACGGATCCCTTCAGCTCATCAACAGATATTGTTGATGGTTTTCTGCAGAGAAATCTTTCTGTCCTGAGATTGATGGCCATATTTTTTTCTATTTGCAGCTGCCACAGTCTTTCTATTTTCATTTGGTGAAATGCAAAGTGCTTGTGAGGTATTTAAAAGTAGAGATGCAGGTTTTATGACTTAATCGTCTTCAAAACTTTCCTCCATCGTAGTTATTCTATTTATCTCACTGATGTTCTCTAACAAGTCTCTGAGGTCTTTATACTTAGTTCAAATTACAAACACCGTCAAACATGTTACCTTTGAAGGCAATGAATTGAACTTGATTTTATTTGTGAGCTTTATAATGAAAAGTAATAAAACATATGCAAATCACACTTTACAGAATTCGGTAGCAGCAAAGTTTACAACATTACAGAATGAGAAAATGATCAGAGATTATAAAGTCTTTGCAAGACATTGCTGAAAAACACTCCTGGATGGATTACCATTAGTAATAACTTCATGTCTGATCTAAGTCTTTCGGTTTGTTTCTGTCTTTGTGCGACTTTTAGCAGAACTCCAGATTCATTTGCTGCAGATAATTCCTTACTTGATTTGAAAATGTATTGTTGTTTGTGTCTATGTGCTTGACTGAGGAGCTTGGAGTAAATTTCCACCAGAGCACAATTCTCGCAGTCGACATTAATTCTTAAGATCCAGGTGCAAAAAGTGTTGGTGGGGCCAAAGACTGTTAACGAGCTCCACAGAGAAACAGTCCTTCCATCCGATTCCAGCAGATTATCAGTATCTGACAGTCGTACCGGTCGTGCAGTGCGGCCTCCAGATAAGAACGTTCAGTAACCGAAGCAAGTCGGAGGTTGGAAAAAGTGATTGTTGTGAGTGAAAAGTACTTGTGGAGATCTTTTGCCACGTCACTTGGCATCAAAACTGTGGAGGGTTTTTTTTTTTCTTTTTTGTGTTGGAGTGTGAACATGAGTTAAGTTCCTAGAAAAGTCTGTAAAGCAAAACTGTGAGCTACTTCAGTTGACTTCAACCACTTGATTTTAAGAGCTGATAAATAAACGAATACACAACAAGAGTGATGTACAAATTAATTATTCAGTTACAATAATTTTTTTTATATAAATAAGTAAAAAAAAAAGACGTGTTATTCAGCAGTGGCCACTTAAAGCAGCACATCTCTAGAGTTTTGGGAAGTTCTTTACTTGCAAAAACAGCAACAGTGGAAGTCCGTCTTTGGCGTCCTGCACAAGGTTAAACTGTTGAAGCTGAACAAAGAGAGAGGTGGATGAAGCCGAGGAGAAGCAGGCATGAAGTGCACTGCAGACTGACAGCAGAGTTATAGGGAGACGTATTATGCCAAGGGTGGAGGGACCCGGTGTCATTGTGTGGCATCACTGTGGGAGACGGCAGACGCATCACAGTCGGAGGAGAAGAGGAGATCAAGAGCGATTGCCGGGAGCAACAGGCTTTGATGAAAATGATGTTTTTCATGCTCATACATCCTAAATTCGTACTCTTCTTCTCACACATGGAAATTGTTTTTTCATATTTACATAACAACCGAGAGGTAAAAGGATGGAATATGCTCCAACCCCTGCAGGATCAGTTCACATTGCTAATGGGAGGCTGGAGGAGCAAATTGGGGTATAGACTGTCCCAGCTTTCCAAAATGACAAACTGTGGGATTTTGCTTTTTTATTTTTTTTTATTTATTTTTTATTTTTTTGGTTGTAAGAGTTGCAAATCTCCTTCTGGAAAGCAGCATGGTCCTAAAAAAATTTCAGTTTGGGAATGATGTTATTTGATCAGGGGGGAACTTAATAAAACCAACACTACAAATTTTGCCGTGTGTAGAACGAAAGGAAAGAGAAAACTGGATTTTGAACATTTCTTTTTCCTGTCTGCAAGCATTTGCAGAAACAAGGAGAGTGGACAGAGACCCAGAAACAGTAACTCTGTTGGCTGCATATGTTGTGGGAAGCAAGCTGATTCCAACTAGCAGGGAGCCAATGGGGTTTAGGGAGAGACCCCCGCGCTCTTGTTTCCACGGAAACTGCACCCCCAGCTCTCTCTCTCTCTCTCTCTCTCTCTCTCTCTGTCTCTCTCTTTCTCTCTCTCTCTTTCTCTCTCTCTTGTCTTCTCTGTCCACATCTCTCTGTCTGTCTCCCTCTCTCGCTCCCATGTTCCTCCTTGGCTGTGTGAAGGAGGAGGAGGAAAAGGAGGAGGAGGAGGAGGAGGAGGGAGATGTGGAGGTGACTCACTGTAACATCATTGCCATGGCAATGAAGAGGGAGCCAAGTGCGATGGGAGACTGGAGAGCAAAGAAAGAATGGGTATTTCCACACTTTTACCAAGATAGAAAGGGTCATCATGATGTTCAGATCATTTTTCTTACAAAAACATTATATTTTAGATCTGAATCCACTCTACTGTCTCTTTACAATAAAATAATTTTAAAAAATCATTGTAATCACTTGCTCTGTTTCCGTCCCTCTTTGCTCTGTTCCATTCTCTCCCTTTTACATCAGCATTTTTTGTTTTTTTTTGTTGTTGCCTCCCTTGGCCCTCTGCTCCACATTTGCCTGAATGTCTGTTGCTGTGCTTTCTTTCTTTTCTTTTTTTTTCCCCTTTTTTTTGTTAGCCTGTCGCACGCAACCCTTCAGTCTCGGAGGAGTGTGTTTTGCACTGGTGGATTACGCTGAGTCATGTCTAATGCGTGTTTAAACATGCCAAGATGGAGTGTTTGTGTGATGCTGATCTGTGCATGCTTTGCCGCTCTGCAGTGGGCT